GGTTTTCACTTACCACTAAGCCCCCCAGTGGCACAGCGGCATGTCTGCGGACTTACAACGCTAGAAACAGGGTTTCGATACCCGTGGTGGGCAGAGCACAGATAGCCCTTGTGTAGCTTTGTGTATAATTAAAAAACAAACAAACTTGCCACTAAATTACACGTTGTTGCTTCTTTACTTTAATATGTTTATTTTGATTATTAATATTATATATATATCACGTTAATTAAAATTATAAGATGATAGTTTTTATCTTATATCAAATGAGTATATTTTGGAAAACAAGTTTAAAGAAATATTATGATTTAGCCAGACATTATTTCGAAATTAGATTATTGATGACTCAAAGGCTTTGCTCTAATCATTTGGAGTTTGTAACAGTGACAGCTATATTTTTAGTACAATAACTTGTTTTGTTGTTAAGTGAAAATAACGGGCTATTTACTTGTTCTACCCACCTTAGGATCGAACCCCGAATTTTAGCATTATATTTCACCCGATAACTTTTTGAAAAGGTATACGGCAGTCAGATTCGTCTGTTTATTTGTTCTTAAAGTGGTCACACAATAGGTCTTGCACTAAATCTGACAATAGAATAGATATATATACTCCTCTATTTTAGTTTTAGTCTTCTTGTAGTTTAGAAACGGGTGCAATTTCGATTGTTGTCAAACTGAAATGTAACTTATAGTTAAAGACATTGCTTCTAGTTATAGAAATGTGTTGAAATAGAATAATTAATAACTTTGAAATACGATAACATGCTTATTACTGGAGTATGGTAGTCTACCTTTTGAAAACAATTGATTTATTGGGTCTTTCGAACTATTATTTGATGCATTTTAGTTTTCTAAAGATAGTCTAATAATACGCAATAATTGTCATTTGAATTCACTAGATGGCAAGACAGTCGAGCACGTATGATTAAAACAAAGTGTAGTTTCTATTACTCCAAGTTTAGTTTATCAGTTATTTAATCAATTTAGCAGTCTAAAGAATATTAACGTACGCAGTTTTATTCAAAATTATATGTAAGTGCACTTTTACAGTGTAAAAAGAAATCCCGTGAAAAATAAAATAGTTTATACACTATCCTCCTGTTTCAGAAAGAACAGCCCCCTAGTGGCTAAGCGGTAAGTCTGCGGATTTTTAATACTAAAAATTAGGTTCCAATACTCGTGCTGGGCACAGGTCAGATAGCTTATTACCTAGCTTTGTGTTTTACAAAAGACAGACTCGTTTAAAACAGTAAAGAAATAATATAATGGGAATAGTGTTTTATTTGTTTATAAATAAGGCATGTTGTCCACGTTTGTCACACATTAAAAATATTTATATTTTGATGATAGTTTAGGGAAGTAATAATGACGTGCACCCTTGAATACCTTGTAGTTTTCATGGATGAACAACTGTAGAGTACGACCATGAGATTTTTTATTTTAATCTTGATTTTGTTTGTGACATGTAACCGAATACAAAACCAATATACATATATATATATAATGGACCTAAACAGACTAAACATCGAAAAAAGGTAAACCGTAAACATAAAGTAAATTCTCGTTTCTAAATTCACATAAAAAAGCCAATCTCGAGTTTTATAAAATATACCAGTTAAAGACAGATTAACGGATATACTACAAAAGTTAATCTGTATTTTAAAGCAAAAGTAAACAATTATACTATACTGATCAAGTATATAATAATACGATATATATAATGCGTTCTTTGTTTTTATTTTGGGGTAAAACTGTAAATAAATGTTTAGTACAGAATAATAATGCTTGGAGACGGTGATCACCTGATGATGACAAAATACTTGTCCAAACGTTGTACAATTGCTGTTATGTT